AGTTGGTTTTCCTGGAGAAGGATATAACATTAGTTTTACTGATGTTGAGTTTCATATAGTTTGCAATGCACCAACCTTGTATAGAGTTAACGTCAGACTGTAGTAGATAGCAGTCATGAGGGGAACTAATGGCTCGGTAAATAATAATAATAATAATAATAATAATAATAATAATAATAATAATAATCTATTACTCTGCAACATTTGCAAAAAAAAAAAAAGAACATTGCAAAACTCTGACCATATTTTCATCTTTCCAACAATAGCAAACAATAAGCATGTAACAAGAACCTGACCATGTTTCTGACTTTGCAGCATTTGCAGACCTGTAAACCTATAACCCGGACTACCTTGGTCGGTCCAGACAGAGAATCCAGAAAAAAAAGGACGTAATTAACCACTTGGTATATTACCTCATTTGTACTTCAGAATCGTAATAGGGGGGGTAATTATAGCCTAGACACATACAAAAATAAACCAAAGCATAAACTTTGATTAAGAACGGATAAGCCAGTTGGAGGCCCACATTTTTATACCATTACCACTGGACGGAGCTGGCAATGGACCTGTGATTATGAGTGCTGATTGGCTAGTGCTTGTGTTCATCTCCAGAGGGCCAGACTGCAAGTGATGTATAAATATTGCCTCGTCCTCTTACGAGGTGGGTGGTATCAGATCAGGTTAGGTAAATGTGATTCAGTTGTCGAGGTTGTGTTTTGGGGATCATCTGCTGATGAAGCAGTTAGAGAATCATTGTGGGTTTTGCAGTGAGGTTTCTGAGGCAGTGTAAGTGGCCTGCTGCTTGTGTGTGTGGAGTCAGTGTAAGTTTAATTGATTGTGAGCTGGTGAGTATTCATCACTTGTGTGTGAGAGATGTGGGTCAAGTTTATTGACAATTAGGTGTGTGTTCGCGAAGTGAGTGAACATGAGACAAAAAGTGGTGCCAAATATGTCTGCCATCCCAGTGCAGCGATACTGGGCACATTGGACCAAGAAGCGTCAAGCGCTAAAATCACAGTACCAGTGGCTGGGAGGCGAGTTCCCCGATGCAGAACACAACTGAAACAGCTCCTGCAAGTACTGTGCGACATTGAGGATGTGGCAGGGTACACTCCAGCTACAGTGGGTGACAGTGAGCAGTGGTCATCCATTGTCAGTGAAGCGGATGAAAACGGCCAGAACTACTGCCAGGCCCTAACAGGGAAGACCCTGTGCACATACAGAGTTGCCTTACAGGAACTAAAGGCCGTGCTGAAGGCGAGGAGCCAAACTGCTCTGTCTGAGGCAACTAAGCCCTCTTCCACCCATGAGGGCGGATACAAAGAAGCCCAGTGGTGCCAGCGGCACGTCACCAACAAGGCCGCCCTGACCTTGAAGAAAGCAGTGCCAGCCACTGAAAACATGCCCCCTAAAGAGGTTGCCACCCGTAACTTCTTTGCTCCCTTGAAAACATCAACGGAGATGGGCAGTACTAGTGCTGCTACACCTGAGGAAGCAGGCTCTGGCAAAGCAGGTAGGCCGCCTCCAATAATATTGACATCATCCACGAATCTCACACAGTTGCAGAAGCAACTGAGAAATGTGGGCAAGGCCGACTTTGAGTTCCGTAACAGAAGAAATGGAACCAGAGTCGTTATGAAAGGCATGGCAGATTTCGAAGCCATCAAGTCAGATTTCACCAACAAAAACCTAGCCTATTATTACTTCTTCCCCAAACCCCAAAAGCCTGTTAAGGCAGTAATCTGACACCTCCCCATCAATACCCTTGCTCAGGAAATTTCAGAGGGTCTGGAAAACATGGGCTTCGACATTATTATTGTCAAGCAAATGACGACAACCCGCCGAGCCCAACCTGAAGAAGCAACAACCAGGAACCTTCCATTGTTCCTGACAACCTTGCTGCAGAGGGCAAAATCACAGGAAATATTCAATGTCAAGCCTTTGCCACATATCAGTCAAGGTGGAGACGTATAGACCTCATATTGGACTTAACGCAATGTCTTAACTGTCAACAGTTTGGCCACGTCTGGGCTAACTGTAAACAACCTCCCTGCTGTTTGTGGTGCGGAGGCAGCCACCTGCATAAGGAATGCCCAGAGAAGGGAAATGCTGCTTCCACCCCAAATACTGCAACTGCTGGTTGGTGGAGGAAGACAAGCCACATCCTGCCAATTATCGGGGTTGAAGACATGCCAGGGAAGACCTACCATCTCTTGTTTCAGTAGAAGTGACAGGGGTCTGCATACCAGTTGGTAACAGTGAAGTACTGCTTGCAGCTGTTTATAAATCCACAGGCAGGGCCTGGAGTGATGCTGACATCACTGAACTCTTAAGCTTTAAACGTAAGTCTATTCTGGCAGGTGATTTGAGTGCTAAGCACCCATTTTGGAATAACAGAGTTTCAAACCCCTCAGGCGAGAAACTCACGGATTTATTTGATATGAGTGAATTCGAAATTTCAGCACCACAGTGTCCCACTCATTATTCCCCTGCGGGAAATGGTGATGTGCTGGATATTGTGGTCCACCAAAATATCAGTGTCAGATGTCATCATCTCCGATATTTTGGATTTGAGATCACCTACCAATAGCATTCCACATACTGGATCATATTCAAATTAGGAATCTTTCGGAACCTATTGAAAAATTCACAGATTGGGAGCAGTTTCAAAGCCTCGTCTCTGAGTTAATATCACATAAAATAGAAATTAAGTATGGGGTAGAAGCCGATAAAGCAGCGCGCAACTTTGCAGCCTCTATTGCTTCGGCATATAGGTTGTTGACAAGAAAAGTTACACTTTCGGACATAAACAACGATCTTCCTGGTCTAGATCGCTTTTTAAAACATAAGCAGAGGGCGCGAAAATTGTGGCAAGAAACCAGGGATCCAGTGCGTAAGACGGCAGTAAATTGGGTCACAAAATCAATCAGGCGAATGACCCGAAAAAAGGCACTTGAACGGTGGGAAACAAAAAGAGTTAACTCTGAAGTCACACCTCAGGGTATTTGGCCCACTGCGAAATTCTTCCTAAAGAGGGATGGACCAAGGGCACCAACTGCTATTCATGGTACTTCAGGCCTTAAATTTCACCCTTTTGGAAAAGCCAATGCAATGGCTGACTGTTTGGAAATGTGACAGTTGCACTGCTGCCTCATGCCCTCATTTCAGAAACTTTATGAACAAACCTTGTACACTCACACATGTACATGCAGGCACACACAAACAAACAATTGTGCACACATGAACAAAAAACACATATAAAAGAATAAAATCACAATTATCACTAATATGATTACATCTCTTTTCACTGCTGCCATCTGTATCACATTTTCTTAAATTCCTTTGGCAGTGGTAAACCACAATAAAACATTACAATTCTTCATACCACAACATGAAACAATACACTATGCATGGCCTGCACCTGAACTCTCAAGGCAAGAAGAGGCTCAAGCAACTTAACTGCTAAGAGGGTTGTTGGAGGCCTTGCATCATGTATAAGCAGCATTCCTGTTATAACCCATTCTAGGGCTTCTCCTTTTTTAGCTTAAATTCCAAAGCACAGAGGTGCTCAACTTATACTAAATGCAGTCCTGCAGTCTTGGAAGCTCACAAACAAAATGCAGAATCATTCAACTCAAAGATATATTTCACCAGAATATCAGAGGTTTGAGAAGCAAACGTGATGAATTAATACACTCTTTTGAAATAGACAACATAAACCTTCACAATGAACGGTTATCTATTAGGTTCCAGCTTCTGCTGTAAAGACCTACAGAGGGAAGGTGTGTGTATTTTTATTGGCCATAAAACTGATATATATCATCACTATAAGGAGCAGGACTTCGAAATCTGTGTAATTCAATTAGTACCTAAAACATGTAACCAAATTATATCCAGCTTGTACAGAGCTCCTTCAGGAGATGTTAAATGAATTTCTGAGCAGACTAGATGCAACTTTAAAATATATGCACAATCCAAAATCTGAGTATGTAATCTGAAAAGAGATAAACATAAACTATTTAAATGAAAATAACCATAAAAGCATGTAAACTTTTTACTAAAGTCATATAATTTGTTATACACTGAGAATTTCGAAACAAGAATTCAAAATTTCTTGAGTACAGCCACTGATGTTATTCTTATAGATAGTACAAGGTTAAGTTATTCTTGTACATCTTCCATAGTCAACGGCCTCTAAGACCATGATGCTGAATTCCTCAGAGTAAATAATATTATTATAGAAGTAAATTTAATACCCTTGGAACAGAGAACCAGAAAAATAACTAATGAAACCATTGCCCAGTTTCAACATCTATTATGGTTGCCACTAATTCTGATGACAAGTGGCGGCCCCTGGGTCGATATAGTTCGCTTGTGAACTAGAAACCATGGAGTTTGTTTTTTTTTTTTGGTTCTCTGTATTATAAAATGAAATGCTGGAACCTTTTTCAAAGATAAGGATACAAACTATAAGTTGAACTCCTTTTTTTATAAATTTTTCTAAATATCTTTGAACCTAATTTTCTTATTCAGAATAAAAGTATAGGTAGAATAAAAAACGACTGGATTACACAAGGAATAAAAATATCTTGCAAACATGAAAGGACCTTATATATTGTCATATGTTGGGTATGTAACGCAATAAATAACTTCACGCTGTTTTGGATCTAGCGAATTTATTGTACACTCGCTCTTACATTTACACAGTCCACAATCTCACCATTACTGCAATCTGCAGTATCACAATTACTTCTCCTGCTGGAGTCATGGCCATGCACTCGATACAACTCAATTTGTAGCTGCTGGAATTCAATTCATACTGAATACTAGTAACTGGCTCAATACTCAATACTCCTGAATAGTGTTTGCTGCTCCTTATTTAGGCGTGGCACGGACAACATAAAGAACACCTTGTTGCTCGACAAGATATCAGGTATTGTTGTCAGGTGTTTCTACCTATGCATTGCCCAGTAATAGTCAGTGCTTGGAGTCGCCTGTTGCATGACATCACAGCCTAGCGGGGAGGGGTGTTTACTATGCGTTGCATAATGATGGGAGGAGTGGGGGTAAATGATGTCACTTGTGGAAACGCAGAGTTCACTTGACCTTACTTCCTGTTGCACTATCCACGTTACAATATACACAGGGTGTCCCTCCCGAAGTCCTTTTCCCCACTATCCCATCCCGGATTATAGTAAAGTACAGCCGAAAACTAATTCTTTTAACACACCTCAAGTCTCCTCGAACAACCCACCCTCACGAGGCTGTCCTATTCCCCACTATCCCATCCCGGATTATAGTAAAGTACAGCCGAAAACTAATTCTTTTAACACACCTCAAGTCTCCTCGAACAACCCACCCTCACGAGGCTGTCCTATTCCCCACTATCCCATCCCGGATTATAGTAAAGTACAGCCGAAAACTAATTCTTTTAACACACCTCAAGTCTCCTCGAACAACCCACCCTCACGAGGCTGTCCTATTCCCCACTATCCCATCCCGGATTATAGTAAAGTACAGCCGAAAACTAATTCTTTTAACACACCTCAAGTCTCCTCGAACAACCCACCCTCACGAGGCTGTCCTATTCCCCACTATCCCATCCCGGATTATAGTAAAGTACAGCCGAAAATCTAATTCTTATAACATACCTCAAGGCTCCTCGAGCAACCCACCCTCACGAGGCTGTCCTATTCGGCACTATCGCATCCCGGATTATAGTAAAGTACAGCCGAAAATCTAATTCTTATAACATACCTCAAGGCTCCTCGAGCAACCCACCCTCACGAGGCTGTCCTATTCGGCACTATCGCATCCCGGATTATAGTAAAGTACAGCCGAAAATCTAATTCTTATAACATACCTCAAGGCTCCTCGAGCAACCCACCCTCACGAGGCTGTCCTATTCGGCACTATCGCATCCCGGATTATAGTAAAGTACAGCCGAAAATCTAATTCTTATAACATACCTCAAGGCTCCTCGAGCAACCCACCCTCACGAGGCTGTCCTATTCGGCACTATCGCATCCCGGATTATAGTAAAGTACAGCCGAAAATCTAATTCTTATAACATACCTCAAGGCTCCTCGAGCAACCCACCCTCACGAGGCTGTCCTATTCGGCACTATCGCATCCCGGATTATAGTAAAGTACAGCCGAAAATCTAATTCTTATAACATACCTCAAGGCTCCTCGAGCAACCCACCCTCACGAGGCTGTCCTATTCGGCACTATCGCATCCCGGATTATAGTAAAGTACAGCCGAAAATCTAATTCTTATAACATACCTCAAGGCTCCTCGAGCAACCCACCCTCACGAGGCTGTCCTATTCGGCACTATCGCATCCCGGATTATAGTAAAGTACAGCCGAAAATCTAATTCTTATAACATACCTCAAGGCTCCTCGAGCAACCCACCCTCACGAGGCTGTCCTATTCGGCACTATCGCATCCCGGATTATAGTAAAGTACAGCCGAAAATCTAATTCTTATAACATACCTCAAGGCTCCTCGAGCAACCCACCCTCACGAGGCTGTCCTATTCGGCACTATCGCATCCCGGATTATAGTAAAGTACAGCCGAAAATCTAATTCTTATAACATACCTCAAGGCTCCTCGAGCAACCCACCCTCACGAGGCTGTCCTATTCGGCACTATCGCATCCCGGATTATAGTAAAGTACAGCCGAAAATCTAATTCTTATAACATACCTCAAGGCTCCTCGAGCAACCCACCCTCACGAGGCTGTCCTATTCGGCACTATCGCATCCCGGATTATAGTAAAGTACAGCCGAAAATCTAATTCTTATAACATACCTCAAGGCTCCTCGAGCAACCCACCCTCACGAGGCTGTCCTATTCGGCACTATCGCATCCCGGATTATAGTAAAGTACAGCCGAAAATCTAATTCTTATAACATACCTCAAGGCTCCTCGAGCAACCCACCCTCACGAGGCTGTCCTATTCGGCACTATCGCATCCCGGATTATAGTAAAGTACAGCCGAAAATCTAATTCTTATAACATACCTCAAGGCTCCTCGAGCAACCCACCCTCACGAGGCTGTCCTATTCGGCACTATCGCATCCCGGATTATAGTAAAGTACAGCCGAAAATCTAATTCTTATAACATACCTCAAGGCTCCTCGAGCAACCCACCCTCACGAGGCTGTCCTATTCGGCACTATCGCATCCCGGATTATAGTAAAGTACAGCCGAAAATCTAATTCTTATAACATACCTCAAGGCTCCTCGAGCAACCCACCCTCACGAGGCTGTCCTATTCGGCACTATCGCATCCCGGATTATAGTAAAGTACAGCCGAAAATCTAATTCTTATAACATACCTCAAGGCTCCTCGAGCAACCCACCCTCACGAGGCTGTCCTATTCGGCACTATCGCATCCCGGATTATAGTAAAGTACAGCCGAAAATCTAATTCTTATAACATACCTCAAGGCTCCTCGAGCAACCCACCCTCACGAGGCTGTCCTATTCGGCACTATCGCATCCCGGATTATAGTAAAGTACAGCCGAAAATCTAATTCTTATAACATACCTCAAGGCTCCTCGAGCAACCCACCCTCACGAGGCTGTCCTATTCGGCACTATCGCATCCCGGATTATAGTAAAGTACAGCCGAAAATCTAATTCTTATAACATACCTCAAGGCTCCTCGAGCAACCCACCCTCACGAGGCTGTCCTATTCGGCACTATCGCATCCCGGATTATAGTAAAGTACAGCCGAAAATCTAATTCTTATAACATACCTCAAGGCTCCTCGAGCAACCCACCCTCACGAGGCTGTCCTATTCGGCACTATCGCATCCCGGATTATAGTAAAGTACAGCCGAAAATCTAATTCTTATAACATACCTCAAGGCTCCTCGAGCAACCCACCCTCACGAGGCTGTCCTATTCGGCACTATCGCATCCCGGATTATAGTAAAGTACAGCCGAAAATCTAATTCTTATAACATACCTCAAGGCTCCTCGAGCAACCCACCCTCACGAGGCTGTCCTATTCGGCACTATCGCATCCCGGATTATAGTAAAGTACAGCCGAAAATCTAATTCTTATAACATACCTCAAGGCTCCTCGAGCAACCCACCCTCACGAGGCTGTCCTATTCGGCACTATCGCATCCCGGATTATAGTAAAGTACAGCCGAAAATCTAATTCTTATAACATACCTCAAGGCTCCTCGAGCAACCCACCCTCACGAGGCTGTCCTATTCGGCACTATCGCATCCCGGATTATAGTAAAGTACAGCCGAAAATCTAATTCTTATAACATACCTCAAGGCTCCTCGAGCAACCCACCCTCACGAGGCTGTCCTATTCGGCACTATCGCATCCCGGATTATAGTAAAGTACAGCCGAAAATCTAATTCTTATAACATACCTCAAGGCTCCTCGAGCAACCCACCCTCACGAGGCTGTCCTATTCGGCACTATCGCATCCCGGATTATATTAAAGTACAGCCGAAAATCTAATTCTTATAACATACCTCAAGGCTCCTCGAGCAACCCACCCTCACGAGGCTGTCCTATTCCCCACTATCCCATCCCGGATTATAGTAAAGTACAGCCGAAAACTAATTCTTATAACACACCTCAAGGTTCCTCGAGCAACCCACCCTCACGAGGCTGTCCTATTCCCCACTATCCCATCCCGGATTATAGTAAAGTACAGCCGAAAACTAATTCTTATAACATACCTCAAGGCTCCTCGAGCAACCCACCCTCACGAGGCTGTCCTATTCCCCACTATCCCATCCCGGATTATAGTAAAATAAAACCGAAAACCAACTCCTGTGGCACACCAAATAATGGAAGGGAAAACAGAGAGCGATCGCCGTTAAATCCGTCGCAACAGAGAATAAGAAAAGCTTCCTCTGGTGAAAGAGCCTCCTGAACATATTTATGAAACTACCAAGTGCTTTGTCAACTCTGCCCTTTCCCCAACGCTGGACACAGTTTCTGCTGTGAAGAATTATGGAACACAGAAAGCACAGCCCATTAAAGTGTTAAGTCTGTACAAGGCAAATGAAATGTTGGCCACACGATATGGAAATATGGCACTTGGTGGGTTTGAGAAAACTGCCGCACTTGCCGAAAAGTATCTGGATTATTACTTCCCTGCTACAGAACAAGAACTGGAACAGGAAAATGGGTCATCTTCAGCTGACGATAGTGACAAAGTTATGCGCACAGTTCATACTGTGGGACATCTGTCTAACAAGTTTGCCCACAGAGTCTACAACGTCATTTCCTCACAAGTGAAGAACCTGAACAAGGACAGTATGCAGCAGTATATAAATTCATTAGCTATCATCATGCATCTTACAAATTATCTGAGCACAGTAAATCAAAATCTGAAGGCTACAACTTCCAGCAGTGAGATTCAACATACAGAAGAAGAAAAATCAAAAAGTCACAGACCAAAGGCAGAAGAAGAGAAATTAACCATAGCATGATGTGTGCCCACAATTTGGATCTTCTGAAATTTGAAGTTGATATTTGTTTTTGTAGAAACACTATTCTGAGCAAAATTATGTAAACATTACATGTGTTTCTGAAATTGAAACTTTTGCACACTACTGACTCCACACGGATAATAACAATAGTGAACTGTACAATCTAGAACTGTAACTGTAACTCAGTATATCTCCTTATGTAGCCTAGAGTCGGACATATAGGAAACATGTCACTGTCAGTACTGTTGTAGGCTTTGCCTAGCACCCGCTGTTTACTCGTCGTTGCTAAGCAATGAAGCTTGCGTTGTCACTCGTTTGAATGTGGGCAGCTCCCACATCACCCCCCCACGGAGATGGTTGCTCAGCTGTTGAAGCGACCAGGAAAAGGTTTGCTTGCGCAGAGCGGTCGCTGATGTGGTGAGGCGGTAGCTACGCCAGTTGCCCAGTGCGTCGGTTATGACCGCTGGTGAGTCCGAGGCAGCCGAGTTGCCCAGTGAGTCAGGTGTGAGACCGCCGGACAGCCGAGGCAGCCATTCTTGGTGCAGAGCAGATCCGAAGATTCCGAAGACCAAGCGCTGGAGTGGAGAGGCAGAAGCTGCAGTGTGTTGACTAATGTTGCGGAGTTAGTTACCTGAGTGCGAGCTCAGTCGTAGGAGTGATGAGTCGGTAGCTACGCCAGACGCCCAGTGAGTTGGACATGACCGCCAGCTAGCTGAGGCAGCCCAGTGAGTCGGGCATGCCAGCGGAGTGGCGAGGCGGCCATTCCTGGTGCAGCACAGAGCCGAAGACTCCCAAAGACCGAGCACTGGCGACGAAGTGTGCTGGTGGATGTTGCTTGAGTGAAGACTGATCGTACACTGAAGATGCCGGGTTGGAGCTACTCCTTTTATACGATGCTCGATGGCAGAGCGAAAATTCGCTGAGCGCTGATTGGCTAGCGCGCGTAATGATGTACATGCGGGCTAGCCGCAAGCGCTGTATAAATGCGAAAGTTTGAAGCAATGTGATTGGTTAGCGCGCGTGATGGTGAAAAGTGAGCTGAATAGCGAGAGTTGCAGAAATGCGTGATAATATGTGGGATGTTCCCACATCAATCTCGCCCCCCCCCCACTTGCGAGAAGTGATGCTGCTGCTTGCGAGTTGTCTGCGGTGTCCATGCTGCGCCGGGATGAACCAATGCGGGAGTCGTTGATGATCTTCATCACACGCACTTCCCATCATGTTGGGGTCACCAATGTGGAATGTCATATGAAGAGACAACTATTAGTTGAACTGTCCTATAGGATTTATTGCAGCTGCACAGTATAATCAGACGGATAATAACAATAGTGAACTGTACAATCTAGAACTGTAACTCAGTATATCTTCTTATGTAGCCTAGAGTCGGACATATAGAAAACATGTCACTGTCAGTATTGTTGTAGGTTTTGCCTAGCACCCGCTGTTTACTCATCGTTGCTAAGCAACGAAGCTTGCGTTGTCACTCTTGTTTGATGTGGGCAGCTCCCACAGGTCCATTCCTCCTGGGACACGCTGCATATATATATTGTAGCGTGTTTGTGTGTCACGCTACAAATAAGTTCATGCCGTTGTCCCAATATAGCGAATTTATTCTGTTCGCTCGCACTTTACAACCATTTGCACTCGCAGTGTTACAATCACTGCTCACAATATTCCGGAGAGACACTGGACGCTCTGGCGGCTAGATCACGACTGGCTTCTAAGATGACTATTCCGAGACTTCTTAGACGGGCGATCCGAAGCTTTCTTCTTCGGAGACTATTCCGAGACTCAAGGCTTCTCATCGAAGCTGGCCTATTTATACCCTCGCCGCTGCTAGGCAAATGAACCTTCTGTTATAACCATGGAGACGTTGCTTTGTTTGTCGTTACCGTGGAGATTCGATGTTCTCGATACAATAACTCACTGTTGGAATTACAGTATCGCTATTGTTACTTCTTATGCAACGGTCTGTTCTAGCGTTTCCATAGAAGTGACTTCTGGATTCCAGACACGTTACATTGCTCCCTTCTAAAGGTTGTTCGTCCCCGAACAGCCTAAAGGTC